GTAGCCACTGTCCACACCATCCGAGAGGCCAGAGACAAAGGTGGTCAGCACCTGGCGGGACAGCACTGGCCCTGAGGCCTGAGAGGAGGTAAGCAACAGAGTGGAGTCATGAGACACCAGAGAGCTGGTGGAGAGTAGCGAGTCCCTTTCAGCACAAGGCCTGTCGATCTCCAAGTCCTCCTCTTCCTCCTCTTCATCATCTCCCAGGATCCCTGGCTGCAGCAGTTCCTGTTCCTTGAGAAGAACTTCCTGTAGAATGTCTACAGAGAGACAAAAACAGTGTTTGGGCTGGTGTCTTTGAACCCTTGAGGAGGGTAATGGGCTCTGGAAGAGGTGTTTGGTCTAGGGTTATCATGTCCCCCATCGGCTAGGGTTATGGCCTGTGTAGTGGGCTGGGTGGGGGTGGGGTTTGCAGAGGAATGTGAAGCATTCAGAGGCAGGATCAGACAGACAGCTGGCAATGCCCTGACTCCCGTTGTCCCTTACCAAAGCTGTCCTGGTTCCAGCTGTAGGTATAGCACCTAGCGACAGGGATGGGGATGGTGTGGAGTTTTCCAGGGTTTGCAGTGTCTGTAAGAGCAGGGAAGACAGGAAGAAGGGACTGAGAAGGGGCCTTGAAGAATGGCCAGACCAGCCCCCCAGCCTTGCAGAAGAGGCCAGAGTGGGAACAATACAGTTAGGGAGCCACAGAGCTGGATGGACTGGGGCACAATGAAATCCAGGATACCTGACTCTCAGCTACAGGGCCCTTCTTTAAAGAGCTATGTAAATGGCAAGCCCTTTCCTAACACTGTGGGTATGGACAAGTCACAGGCTCTGAGCCTCGTTTTACTGCCAGTCCAGGAAAAAAAATAGAAACGTTTTAAAAGGTTTGCTTGCATGTTTTTGTTTGTTTTGGCTTTTGTCTTTTTTCAAAACATGTTTGTTTGTTTGTTTGTTTGTTTGTTTTTGTGTGTGTAGCCCTGGCTGTCCTGGAACTCGCTCTGTAGACCAGGCTGGCCTCAAATTTGGAGATCCACCCCCCTCTGCCTCCCAAGTGCTGGGATTAAAGGTCTACACCTCTGTCTGGCCTGCACTTTTGTTTTGAGACAGTGTCTCACTATATGGTTGGCCACAAACCCATAAACTTCCTGCCTTATCCCCCCATGTACTGAGATTACAAGTGTGTGCCACCATGCCAGGCTCCTTAAAAGGTTGAATGGGGAACATGGTACCTGAAGTTGCCAACCGATGCTCAGAATCTATGCCACCTGACTCTGGTAAGAGTGGCAGGGACACCTCTAACCTTTAGAGTAAGATGTGACCGTGATGCAGGTGGGCCCAGGGACATGTGCAGAGGTAAAGAGAGCAGCCGGATGCCCTCAGTGAGTTCTCTTCCTCTTGCTAACACAATAGCAACCCAGCCTTGTATCTGCCCACAGGAACTCTGCGTGGGGACCTGAGGATCACCCAGATGCTGAGGAACCTGGCCACTGGAGTCGTCTATGGCGCAGAGCTGCCAGGCCCACTGGTGTGCACACTCTGGGTACCAGAATAGATGTTGGGGAAGTGGACAGAGTTGTTGTCCCCCAGCCTTCACCTAAGATGCCAGGGAAGCCAGCTTTTTCTCCCACTGCCTTCAGCTTGGTCCGGAGCCATTTCCGGGCCTCTGCTGCATCTTCTATGCCAGATGCCAGCTCCTGTGCTTCTGTGGTCTCGGTGAAGATATCATCAAGCTCTTCTAGCGTCTTGGACTAAAAGTGCAGGAGGAGACAAGGTGTGTTCCCGGCCCATGATCAGGCTACCCCACTCTCCCAGTTCCCAGTACCTGACCAAGGGCAAGCTGCCCTCAGCTTCCTCACCCTCCTGGTGCTTGGGTGGCAAGGAGCCAAGCCACCCTTAGCCCACTGCCTTTCTATGTTCATTTTCAAAAGGCAGGAGAAAAAAAAGCCCAGTGAGAACACTGCAGAGTGGGAGGGATTTCATACCCCTCATGCACACAGAATGGCGAAGGGTTGTCCATACAGTGCAACTAACTGGTCAGAGAGGCAGGAAGAAACACAGACCTTTGTCTAAATCTTATCCCCATTCCCACGGCATAGTGCCTTCTTCACCACAGAAGCTAGGCACCAATGCCCAACTCAGTGCCTAGAGCACAGCCAGATTCTGGCCAGGACCCAGTGGTGCATCAGGGCCAGCCTTGCAGCCAATGTCTAGAGGTGCCACTTGGGGTTATGGAAGTAGCATATCATGGTTTTTTTTGGTGTATTGTTTTGTTTTGTTTGTTTGTTTGGTTTTTTGAAGACAGGGCTTCTCTGTGTAGCCTTGGCTGTCCTGGAACTCACTCTGAAGACCAGGCTGACCTTGAACTCACAGAGATCTGCCTGCCCCTGCCTCCAAAGTGCTGGGATTAAGGGCATGTGCCACCACTGACTGGTGGAGGTAGAGTATCTTCATAGCAAAATGCTTCTTCATAGACCCAGGTTCCCTGGTCCTTACCTGAAGTTTGTGGTGCAGGCTAGGAAGGTCACAGTGGGCCCCAAACGTGGCCTGAAAAGCATGCAGGAGCAGGGTGATGTAGACACCATGTGGTGACTGTCTAGGTGCACTCAGCTTGTCTGCCACAGCAAGGAATTCAGCCTCTACCTCCTCAGGGTTCAGCAACAGCACAGTGCTGGGGACACAGAGGACAGGCTATGGTTTTGCTGCGTCCTCCGTGCCTATGGAGCTCAGTTCCATTCGGGACTCCTCACAGGAGAGCAAAGCAAGGCAAGTGACAGAAGCTGCTAGGAAGGGGCTGGGGGCATTGCGTGTCCATTTCCATGGGGAATGCTTATGATTATGCTGGAGTGTTTTTCAGGTGGAGTTTTCAAAGACTCTTTCAGACCTGAACTTGAGGGCTGGAGAGATGGTTCAGTGCTTAAGAACTAAACTTGAGGGGCTGGAGAGAACACTTAGTAGTTAGTCACATATAGTGCTCCTGCAGAGAGCCTGTGTTCCCAGCACCCACATGGCAGCTCACAACCATCTGTAACCCAGCTCCAGGGAATTGGACACTTCTGACCTCTGCAGGCACCTGTACAAACATACCTATGCCCTCCCCCACACATACAGACCCACAAATAATTAAAAATAAATATTTTTCAAAAATACAATAAAAATATTTTTAAAAAACTGAACTCAAAGAGCTCAGTTAATAGAGTAACTATCTAGCATGCACAAAGCTCTGGGTTCGATACCCACGTAAACTTGGTGCTGTGGTGCATGCCTGTAACCCCAGCACTTGTGAGGGAGGGTCAAGAGGATTAGAAGTTCAAGATCAATCTTGTCTACATAACAGTTTCTAGGCTAGCAAGGAATACAAGAGATTCTTCCTCAAAATCAAACACAAAACCCTGAACTTTACTTTTGGTTGTGAGCCTAGCCTTTAATGGCTGAGCCATCTCTCCAGCCCTGAACTTTACTTTTAAACCTACGTTTCCCCTTAAGTTTTATTTAAGACAGGATTATGCTATGTATTCCAATCTGGCCCATGACTCTCTGCCCTTAGTCTACTGTGCTGCCTTGATTTTCACAGTCATTTATTCCTATGGGAAACCTGAATAGATACAAGTTATTCACAAAAGGAATGATTTGAAGCCAGGTGATGTGAAGCTCAGTGATGGCTTTTCAGGGGAGCAAGAGCATGCCTGCCACAGATTGTCATTTATTGTGACCTTGGGTGACATCTGCCCAGAGGCAGGAACTTTGTCAAGTCAGGCCTGCCTCTGAATCCTCCACTCCTCCGGGCATCTTTCCAAACCAGACCAGAGGCATCAGGTCTATCATGGGGCTGGGAGAGGTAAGTGCTGGGCCACCTCTCCCTCCCAGCAGGATATCTGGGGGCCCTTGTGGTGTCAATGTTCAAATGTCTTTGTTATGGAAACTTTCAAACACATTCAAATATTAAGAGCATCATGGGACCTTTCTCATTTCTCTGTGGGTTTCAGAACCTCATAGTGTTAGCCCACAAGGGCTGTAGCAGAAATGGTCTGG